CAGCGACGCATCAGCATCACTGTAAGCCTCACCGTCCTGATCACAATCACCATGACCATCATCATCATCATCATCCTCAACACAAGTATGGGGACCAGTCACAGTCACTCACCAGTCAGTCGCCGTCAACATCAACCGATATTCAAACCCCTTATGCAACAGTACGGCAGCGTGAGTCCTGCACATGATCATTAACATCTGACCGCGCTCGGACGAGGCGGTGGCAGCCAGTGTGCCAACAAAACGAGCATGAGACACACCTGCCCTGGGACCAGGGCTCAAGACTAGGGCTCAAGGCAGTTCAGGCAACCCTTTGCAACCTCCAGCCGAAGCAACCGAAAGCGACAAAAATCCCACAGACGTAAAACTATGGGCCGTCGAACGATGAATCCAGTCAAAGTGCAGGACAAGGTCGTTGCGCTCTTGCATGAGCTCCTGGTAATTAATGCTCTCAGGAGGGTCTGGCAATTTGGGGTCTACAGATTCTGATATTCAAAAGGTCCGAGCCTTAGGATTTGCTTTTGGATTAAGTTTGCAGGGACTTGCGGCTTCACCTTTCTTCCGAATACCCCGGTCGAGAAAAGGAGTAAGACTTCAAGAAACGTCCACCTTTCGGAGTGATGCTATAACTGATCAGAACCCGAAGTATTGGAGAACCTCTACTTCACTTATCAGTGCAATCAGAATGTGAGAAGCCCTGGGCTGAAGCCATCAACTAAGCCCCAGTTCAACCCGCAAGTCAAGCCCTCTTTCTGAACGCTCGACCTCGCCGTCTCGGGCTTACAACACAGATCTTAGAAGGGGCCCCCACTCTGTAATAGTGGTATAATAGGAATATAATAAGGCCCTAATATAATCCTTATAGTCACTGTTACAGGGTGGGGGCAGCTTCTAACACAAATCTGCATCTTAGCGAGGAAAAGTTCCTCAAGCTTAGCGGAGGGATTCCGGGTTGCTCTATAGAGTTCGAGCAGATGGAGAACGCTCCTTGGACACGCTTGATGCTGATGTCGGTTGAAACTATAATAATTAGAATAGGGTGCTAAGGAACCCCAAAATAGTTTTTGATAAAGAACCCCCAAAATAGTATATAATAAGGAACCCCCCAAAATAGTACAGGTAATCTCCCTCCAGATCGAGGTGCCTGCATCTTCCGATTGGGCCCGAGCTGCAGGCCCTCTCGGCGTGCAATGTCCACCAGGAGAACCTACGATGAGAGTCGCAGATCCTTAGCCCCAAATCCTTCCTGACATTCTTGCCTGCCACCTTCTGCTTTTTCGTTTTGTGGCGTAGATTGTAGATCGGACAGCTGGAGATTTGGGAATCCAGTGCCCAGGGCTTTGTTGGAGGAGGGTCGTTCTGTTGCATGAGTTCTAAACCAAGAACCTATAGCTCATGTCAAATGCCTTGGCAAGCCCGTGGGGTTCGTGGAAAGACACGGGAGTGTAGGTTCATAAATTAGCTAAAGTTGGACTTGTGGATTGGGGCCTTAGAAGACATGGCATCGAACGTTGCATCGGTGTTTTTGTTATTTTTGTTGCTTTCAAGTGTTCGGAATGGCTGCTTGGGAGTGTAGACTGGTTTGGGCCAGTCAGCTGCCTCTTGAGCTGCGCTCCCATGCCAGAACTGACCACCATTACAGTCCTGAGCCTGAAATGCCGAAGTTTCAATTCGACAGCTTCTGCTTGGCCTGGCCATTGTCCCATATGCTCTCCTCCAGGGTCCTCTTCACCTGTTCCAGTTTAGCGATCTAAGCTTCGGAGTTATGTACAACCACTTGCTCGAACCTCCACTGAGAGATGGTTCAAGACAGCTTCTCACTGTCTAGCCCTAGATCATTCGTAGTGGCGGCTGCTTACATGCAGTGATCTCGTGCATACTTGTAGTTGCAACACAGCTCGCGCACCATGGATTCAGTTTCTTCCACGACGCCTTCATGGCTCCGTGGAAAGGCAAGCTGGGAGGGAGCAGACTCCACACATCCCAAACCAGACTCTCATTGAGCTGATCATGAAGTCACAGTGTGTCAGTCAGACATGCTCTAAGAATAATGTCTGACGAGCTGTCCGTCAGGCTGTCGCCAGCACCTCGTCCACGCCGGAATCGTCAAAGGCTGGGCATCCATCTGGCGATTCAGGACTTTTCATTTTAGGGTTTAAAGAAAGCGACGGAGGTTCGCCACGAAACTGTCACTGGGAGCTCCACCGAGGCTCTCCAGTGGCATTGACACCGGTTTCGGAGAAGCTTACTGTGTTAGCTAAGGCGAGTCCACCTCACCACTCACAGCTGAAACCTTCCTTAATTTCCATGGATATCTCGTTCGTGCTTCGATTTTGCATGAAAAGCTCCAACGGGGCCGGCAACGCCGCAAGTGCACTGGTAGACAGTGGTGTTGCTGTATCTAGCCTCGGCAAAGTTGGGTCAGTTTCAGCGGTCTCAGATCTGAGTGAAGGAGACAGCTCTTAACCTAGCCTGCGAAGAAGACATGTGCTCAGCGCACTGGAGCAGACGCAAGATGTTGAGGCGTAGCGCCTCAAGCCCCCGAACCCTCAATCAAGATACAACATACGGAGTGACCGAAGAAGTGTATGCACAAAGGCGATGGATTCAACAACAGGAGAACGCTGGCTCGCAGGCCTACTGCTCATGGCTTCGCGAGCGGCGCATCGCACGTTTACGATCCGAGCTGTGGAAATCCCGGGGCTTGGAATCATACTGTGCCTCGCAACACAAGTAGGTCAAGCTTCAGAATCCTGCTCTCGCACCCGCTCTCTGCCGATGACCTTTCGCGTCCTCCCAGCGTCGCAGTCTCGTGCATCTCGATTACGACGTCCACTCATGCAAGTTTGTTGATACCGCTGCAATGTGCTACGATGTAGCACTCCCATACTGCTATATGGGCTACACTCCTACAGCACAAGCCCACCCGAAACTTCCTCCACCTCATTTCTGCGAGCTTATGCTCCGCGCTGGAGCTGAAGGTTCTCGGAGCTGAGGTTTCGGCCCACCACGGCAGTCCTGGCATCTTCTTTCCATTATCTAGGGGCTTGAACAGTTGGAGTGGGGTTTGTGGGGATCTTTTTGAACCCAGGCTCTATGCCATCATCAGCTGGGAATCGGCAGCTAACATGACCACGGGTATCCTATAGTTGATCATCGTTATAGAAGGAGTACATTGTCCCCAGAGTATATAGTAGATATGTGCGAGCTGGCAGCGGCCACGTGGGGCCTTGTAGGCTCTACGTGGCAGCGTCCCAAGGTGTAAGGGTGCTTTCGTTTCGTTTCCGAGGCTGCAGAGCCTTTTATAGTTTGTTAGTATGCCCACCCCCCCCCCATCGACATGGGATCGATATAGGCTGCTCAATATGTGGCCCCGATTATACACTCAACCCCCCATTTTTGAGACGTCTCATTTACCGTTCCCCATACCGGAATGCCGAGGAAACAGAATGGCTCATCCGCAGGTACACTCTTCACACACCATATGCTCCGAACCCTATACTTTGAACCGTTACTACCCTTCTTACCACCTAAAAGCAGAAACTTAAACTTCCGAACGAGAACGAGAGAGCCTGGACCATCAAGGCGCCACACGAACTTCGTCTCACAGAGTGCCGGGCAACTGGCCTCGAATGAAGTATTCTCTGCAGGACTTTCGGGGAAAACTAGGCTGGTCTTACAGGGTTCGAGTTTTTGCTGCTGCCCAGTCAAGGCTTTTGCGGCGGTCAAAACTGTGAAGATCCAGGTTCAGAGTCTTTGGAGTCTGAGGTGCAGATTCCAGCTTTCCATCTGAGGTGCCATCGCCGATGGGAGGCCCATTTGCAGCATTGCAGCGGGATTTTACATCCGACCAGTCTGACTTTTCTTGCTAGGTAGTTTCGGCGCAAATCTGCGCTTTCAGCTTGGAACCCAGATTCCTTGTAGAGTCCTTACCCGAACAGCGACATAATGCTGATTTAAAGAACCACAAAGGCGAACAAAAGCACTAATGAACTCAAGGCATATACACTCGCTGGAAACTCGCACAAAAACCCTAGTTCTCAAATCCGAAACACCCTAGTCCCGAAACACTCCATGAAACCTCCTGAAGCCGAAGCCGTTCGCTTATATATTACTATTGCTATCACTAGCATAACCGCTCGTATTGACATCATTAATACTAGTACTATTGTATTATGATGTGTATATATATATATATATACATATGTATGCATGTGAGTGCATTGCATGACTTTATATATATATATATATACCCCGCAGGTCCACGTACACGTTAAACTGATGCTTTGGCAACGCATCCGTTAAACTGCTGCTTTGCCACATTCGAAGCTTTGGCCCTTGAGGTGCTTGCTGTCGCTGTTAAGGTCGTACAAGCTGCTCGTTGCAAATAACAGCTGAATTGACGCACACAAGCGGGCATCAGCAGCTCAGCAGGGTTCGTTCTCGGATGATTCGGGGCTCGGTGTGGATGCCATGGGACCAGCGGGCATGATCCTGATCTTTATCGTGGTGCGGTTCTGAGAATTCTTGTCGAAATCAAACAGGGAGGGACTTGTTCTGAAGCTCAGAATCCGAAGGTCGCTTTCAACATGCGGTTCCGCAGCCCAAAAGCTTTCCTACAGCGCATGCTCCTGAGTTTTCAGCTGGAAAAATTGCGAACTCGGGCTTGTTTTTGGTCTTGAACCAGAGGTCTGGACGAAGTGGACGACACCGCCATCGGCGGTTCGGGTGCAGCCCCGCCCGTGCATCACATGGTCGTATTCTGATTGTGCTGTGCTTGCTTGTCTTGAGTGACCTGTGTTGTCTGCAGCCTTTCCGAGTGCTTGAAAAATGCATTGCTCATCAAGAATAACGTCCAATTTCGATTCTCTTGGGGGCGGTCCCCACAACTAGGGTACGCATCAGGCCAAAGTAGAAGCCAAACCAATGCCAACATAATCTGACTACGGAACACTAGCTTAGAGTGGGTCAAACTTAATATAATAGATTTGGTTTTCGCAATGCCGGATTCGAAACCGAAGCCCCATGTGGTTGCACTCGTCCAGGACAAAAGTTGAAGCCTCCACCTGCATTTACCCCTTGCTGCTTCAATCTTGTATGCCACCAGGAACTCTACAGCGATTTCTTGAAGCCCAGCTACATCAACGACCGCTTTGCCAGCCTTCGCAAGCGCAAGGGAACGAACAAGGCAGTTGCATCTCACGTATCTAGGCCTAGGCACTGTAACGTTCAAGTGTTTTCTGGGCAGGGTGTGATGTTTTCCTTTCTGGATGTTACGAAGAGAGAGCCCACCGAAACCGAGGCACGTTTGTGATCGGTATTCATGTCAAGACCTTTGTATATTTTGCTCGTAGCTGATCAGGTTACGACATCGCCGAACTTTGAGTTTATCCTGGCATTTGTCACGACCTTCCCGACCACCAATCCCACCAAGAAGGAGGTAAAGGCACGGCATTCGAGGGCCCACCCAACCTTTCGTTACACATGAGCTTGCAGGCTGCACTCGATTGGGCGAATACTGAACATCGTCTACATCCTGCTGTGGAGCAGGTGAAGCTTGAGGCCTTTTTGCCGCATTGCCTTTGGGTGCATGTGTTCCAAATTTCGCTATCCAAGTTTATACGTTGAGGCATGGCTCGACAACGAAGCAGAGCTGCAAAGATCTTTCGCATCATGGACAAAGGAGAGGACAACTCGAAATAAAGGGGTGAGGCTGGATCTCGTGCTTGTTTGCATTGGGAATGTGGTGTTTGGGCTTAACTGGCAGGGGCGGCAAGTCCGAAAAACGAAAGCGTATGATGGTCATCAAGCAGGCCATCCGAGCAGCTAAGAAGGCAGGGGGACGACGCCCTAAGCAACTTTAACATGCTTATCCTCTGTCCCACTCTAGGCGATACAAGACGAAAAGAAATCGATGAGCAAAGCAGAAGCTCCTCGGACTACGTTGGTCATGTAGATTCAGTTGTCTAGACGATACGCCAGGAGGAGGCCCCGAAGGAGCACATCGAAGAGGACAAGCCAGATGAAATGAATGAGGTGCGGGATTTGCTGTTTCACTCAATAAATCGTCACAAGTGATCATTGGTTTGAGGCTGAAGCTGAAGCAGGGGAGCAAAATGAAGAGGAAGTACTAGAGGAGGATCCAGTCGTGGACGACGAACAGCTGGCGAGTGATGAAGATGCTGCCAAAGGTACTTTCAAGGACAGTTTCCCATAGTAAGAACATACCGGTATTACCAACCATCGGTTGTGCTACAAGACTACATAACCCCCCGGGCAGGACGAGAAAGCATTGAGGACGAAGGCGCCGAAGCTCCCGGAAGCGGTGCAGGAGACGGCGGACAAGTTGCTGAAGGAGAGCGAGACGGAGGATCCTCGAGTTGCGATCGAGGTTTCGCATGCATGGATTCTGGATGTTCTTGTCAAAAAAGAGAGAGATACTAAACACACACAGAATAGAAACAAACAAAGACAACAGAGACAGAGCGAGAAAGAGAGAGAGAGAGAGAGAGAGAAAGATATACTAGATATGTAATGTGCAGAAAGAAACTGGGAGAAAGGGAGAGTGCGAGACAAGGAGAGAGCGACAAACAAAGAGACAGGGAGAGAGAGTCATAGTATAATTGTTTGTTTGTGAGCGAGAGGGAGAGAGAGAGAGAGAGAGAGAGGTATATAGTGCATGCCAGGGAAAGCTCTTTTGCGATAGTGCTTGCAGGTGCCCATGCTCCCCCAAAATCCGTATCATACACAGGTCCAAAAGAAGACAAGACAGGCCATGCGAGCAGAGCCAGAAGTGAAGGAGACTCCGGAGGATCCGGATCCAGAAAAGGGAGGCCGAGGAAGTGGCAGAGGAAGGGGAAGAGGAAGGGGAAGAGGAAGGGGAAGAGGGGCGGCTTTGAAAAGGCCGGCTGCTATCGAATCCCATGAGGGCATGCCGTCAAAGAAAGCGAAAGCAAGCATGGATGCACCAATGGAGACAGCACCAAAGGCAAAAGCAAAGAAGAGGAAAGCGCAGCCGGATGCAGAATATGAGGAAGCCGCAGGAGCAAAGAACGACCAGCTGCCAGGGAAAGGTGAAAGAGCTACGAGGCCGATATGTTGCATTGCAGGTTGCGAAAGTCTAGGGTCTAGGGTTGCTTCTTGATGAGACTGTCATACGGATCCCGGTTTGCACTTTGGATCAGGAATCAAGAGTTGCCACGATTCAAAAGCTTGAAGAAATCGCGAAGTCCGATGAGCGGATGCAGATCGACTCAGATTTCAAGGAAAGCAAAAGAAGGAGGGACCCATGCAGCATAGTTCAATAAATATAATATATTCGTTTGCTGTTCATGTGATCTTTCCTGGGGCAGGAGCTTCACGCTACGTCAAGAAGACGTGAACAATCGCAGCATCGGGGTGGTGTTCGGAACTGAGGTTTTCCAGGAATTTCAGGTGGTATCGAATCGAAGTTGATTGTGTCTGTATGACTCTGGCCCGATTGAGGATTTCAGCGAATGGAAAGAGTGGAAGTTTCTATATCTCCCCGGTTTGCAAGAAGAACATTGAGACATTGAACAAGACGGTGAATGCAAGCTTCACGGCCTGGTTCCTACATTAGGCTGAGATGAGTTTATTTAGGTCATGGAAACACAGTCGATCTATCTCAGTCTGTCTCAGGTGGATAACAAGCTGGACAAGAATGGCGAAGGCGGCTTAACGGCTGGATGGTCGAAATTTGAAAGCCTGAAAGATGCGTTTCTGACTCAGCTTCCGGTTTTGATGTTTTTGGTCGAGGTTTGAATTTGGTGTTTCAGTTGTTGCACTCAGGTGGACTTATGCACTTCATGCCGCCGAATGGGAGGGCTTGTTTGTGGCTGCCACACGAGCACGCAACGCTGGGATTCCAGACTCTCGTTAAGTGCTGTGACTTTTTGTGCTGCTTGAAAATGCTGCTATGAAGTTCCCGGTGAATTGTAATATGTTCTATGCACACGGCTGGTAGACTGTACTGCTTGAACGACAGGTTCGGGATCAGGTCCTGCTTCGGTGGGGCTAGGGTTTGATTAGTGGCGATCCGCTGATTTCGTAGCATGGGCCGTGCTGACTGGTGGATGATACAAGATGTGGCTGTGCAACCCGCTACATGGCGAGCCCTTTGCCTGGTGGGTTTTCCTGTGGCGATGCCGCTCGCTTTCATAGTTGCAAAATCTAGGATTTAGAAAATGGAGTTAAGAGGGCTCGGTGGTTTTGTATGATGCACTGAGGCTTCATTTGTGCGATTACATCGCTCAGAATGTGGAGGGTCCCAATGCAGAGAGGGTCTGGAACCTAGATTCGCAACATATCCTTGACCATGAAGCTTGAAACCCATGTATCGTGTGAAGGATTTGTATTGTCTGGACCTTTTCGCTGGGACACGAGCCATCGACCTTGGGTTCGGCCTTACTCTTAGCTTCCCTGTCGTGCATGCATATTCTGTAATTTTGCGACTGGAGTTCTATGAGGTTCTCGGGGGCTCAAGTCGTGTGGGGCTTACAGCTGTTGGCACCTGCTGGGCATGTGTGGAACTTTCGTTATGATCTCGTCTTGGCCAGGGACTATTTCGATATTGCACAACGGCCCGAAGACGACCTCTTGACTGTGTGATGTACTTAGCAAGCATTGTAGGTTTGAGCTGTGTGCCTACCTACACGTGAATGCTGTATCCTGTGCTGTTCTGAGACGGTTCCTTTGAGGTCCGGCTTTATGCGGGCCACAATGAAGGTCCTCAGATTGAGGGAGGACGGGCTGTTGGCAGCCGGGTTACCATGTGGTTCATGGACGTTCATGAATCGTGCTACGAGTGGTCGCTGCAAGAGCAATATTTGGGGCACAGAGCGCTACAAGTACATCAAAGAAGCCAATACGATGCTCGACTCAAGGTTCATTTCGGTTGTGCACTGACTCCTGTCAACATTGCCGTGAGTTCCAATGTGTCATGGATTAAGGTTGGCTTGTCGGACCGTCCTACTATGCATTTTGGCCATGATGCGGGGTGTGCATTGGTTCCTAGAACAACCCGGGAGCTCCGTGGTTTTCGATCTACCACAGATGCAATTTGTTCGAGATGTCCTCGGGGAATTTGTGCCGGTGCAAAATGCTCGCTTGTGGGGGCCTAAGGTTTCTGCTGAGATCCAACATACCCATGTTGTACTTTCTGAAACTGTGTCAATCGAGACATGACCCTGCCCAGCTGGATGGGCTCTTATGGCCACTTCTCGCCGAAGTTGACCCACATTTGGGGCACCCCGCCTGACCCTCAATTTCTCAATAATTTGGTTGTGTGAAAACTAAGTCGCTACCAGTAGCAGCTTGAAATGCCTGAAGGAGGTGGGTGAACTTTCTCCACCGCAGACTGACGAAGAAGGAACGACAAAAAAGGGGCCTCAGCTCCAAAGGTGTGGTTACAAACAGAAAGTGCAAGAAGACTGGGAAGAAGCTTGTGTGTTGTGCTGAGTATCGACTGAGTCTGTTCGTGTCGAGAGGGGATATCGATATATGGTATATGGTATTGCATCACAAGGACCGGTGGGCCACGCCTCAAACAAACGCAATGCTACCCGGTGGAGTTTGGAAAGGCAGTATCCTCATATCACATTCACGAGATGGCTTCCTGACTGCAAATGATGTATTACAGACTTCGTGTAGATGCTTTTACAGATGCTTGTGTTTGAACACTCATGAGGCCTCGAATGTTGGAAAGATCGGCAAGGACGTTCGGACTTTGAGTTTGGCTGGGCCCTAAGCCTGGGAACCATCGCTTCAAGAGTCGTGTGTTTCTGATTTGCGATTCTCCCGTTATTTAGACTGAGCATGCTGAGGTGAAAAAACAGATGAAAGATACGCCTGATTGGGCCCGGGCATGTCTGAGGAATGTTGAAATGTTCCTGGAGCAGGAGGCCAAAGCTGGCAATTATGATCCGAAGCTTAATTTCGGATCTTTTGTCGTGCGGCCTCGATAGGCTAGGTTGCTGCCCCTTCCATAACAATGGTTAATTGTGTGCCTCAGAAGAAATTTCACGTTAAGCTTGGGAAGCTGGTGATAGTCTTGTGCTTGCCAGATCGATTCTGTGGGTAGCAAAGCAAGGTCTCACGCAGTTTGTAGCCTGCTCTCGGCGATCTAAGTGTTTATCTACGAGAACTCACGCGAGCGCAGAAAAAAACAGTAGCGTGAGAATAGCGTGAAAAGGCCGTGAGAAACCCGTGAAAAGCACCCCGAACCCCGTGAAAAGAACCCGGATCACTGTGAAACTTTGGGCCCCGATTTTCCAGACAAAACACCTTGCAGTTTGATCGGGCGAACTCATATCTGTGATTGTCACGACACGATTTTATGGGCCTATGCTGCTGTTGCTCGAGGATCTATCATATTGCTGCTGGCTTGTTGGGGGACACTAGCAGCAGCTATGGTGGACGTTGCCTCGGTTTTGGCAAAAGCTAAAGCAAGAAGAGAAAGGGCTGGGCTCCAGCCGAAGTTCAGTTCTCAATCTGTGTGCTTGCTCGCGATGATTTAGTATGTGACCGTTCATGTGTATGTATGTATGCAATCGCTAGTTCGACATGACTCATTAGTGGTGCGATTCATACTTCTAAGGCGGTACGACAGCAAAGAAGACGCCCAAAATCCTTTTGGGACGGAAGAAACCCCTAGCCCGAAACGACCAGCCAGTCCCGACTCTACGGGAAAGAGAGCCTGGCAAGCTTCGAAGAAGGCAAAGACAAAGACCCCTACCCTCTCTTCCAGCGAGACTCTTCCTGACACACAAGTCATGCAGACACCCCCGCACCGCATCAGCAGAAAGGGAACCGAGGATATGAGTGGGGAGAAAACTTCTTTCCTAAGGAAGGCACAGACAGTAGATATCCCAAACAGTGAGGACCGAACAAAGCTTGCAAAGGAGGCACAAGAACAACTGCAGCAGGAGCAAGACAATATGAAGGACCCGGAACCCGAGACGACAGAAGGTGCTACAAGCAAAACCAAGAAGGCCTTGCCAGCAGTCAAGGCAAAGGCCAAAGCAAAGGCGAAAGCAAAGGCCAAAGCAGTCCCAAAATCCAAAGCAGCCCCGACCAAGACAGCCCCGGCAACAACCCCGAAAGCAAAGGCGAAATCGAAAGCCAAGTTGACGAAGCCTGCCCCTCCGAGCCCCGATGTTCGGGATCCCACTGCCCGTGCTTCCACCGATCCTCCCGCAGGCAAGCCAAGCAAACCGGAGCACACAGAGGAGACGCAGCCGGACAACAGCAACAAGAAGAACTCTGTAAATGCAAACGACAAAGCGGCCGCAGCAAAGCCCACAAAGATGCTGAAGCGAAAGAAAGGATTGAAGAAGCGATGCAAAGGAGGCCAAGCCGAGAAGATGGCAACCAGCAGAAAGCGCAAAGCCCACAAGCTCTACATGAGATTTTGGAGATCGGTGAAGAGTTCATCCCTCAGTGTGAATTCTTTGTGATTTTTGAGGTCCTGCTGCTCTTGTAATTTTTGCTGATAAGCCTATCCTACCGACACCTAGGCAAGCATACACCGGGTGAGATCAAGAAGACTTTCGAGAGGTTCAAGTATTGCCATCAGCTCAGGTATTTGATATGGGCTACGCAGAGCCTAGAGACTCAACTTTTGTTTATGCATGCATTCATATGATTGACCCAAGGCAAGACGAAGATGAGCACGTTGTACGAAGACTTCGTGAGCACCGGAGGAAAATGGAAAAATGGCATCATCTACAAGACGGTGACATCGAAAAGGAAGAATTCTTCTTTGGGATGCCGAAAATGGCTCACTCGTCTGCAATTGCTTCAGCATTTCGACAACGATGCTGATATTGTGGATGCTGTGATACTACGGAAAGAAACAGACCCCGAGCTCCGCCAGAAGGAGATCCGGGAGCACCCGGAATGCCCCGGTAACTCAGCCATATTATCCAACCCCACCTATACAGGCACACGTTTAAAAATACTAAATAGTTCGATTGCGACTGAGGACTGAAACAATATCTCGTGCTGGTCGACGATTCGGAGTATGATGAGTCGGCTGTGGAGATTACGGATCTTTTCCAGGCAGAAGATTATGCGAGCAGTGGGAGTGATGATTCGTCATCCTCATCGAGTTCTTCGCAGGCAAGATATCATACATTCGAATGGCCATTGTTGCGAGCTTAGGCTTGGCTGCTAAACTGCTCATGCATTCCAACGATGCTAGGATTCCGATGCCAAGCGCCGCAGTAAGAAGTCGGGCACGAAAGCCAAGAAGGAAAAAAAGGGCAAAAAGGACAAGAAAGACAAGAAGGCTAAGAAAAACAAGAAGTCTTCCAAGAAGCGAAAGAGCAAGAACAAGAAAGGAGAGGAGACTGAGGAAAGGAAGCAGGCCAGGGCGCTGACATCCGAAGCGAACAAGGCCCGAAGGTAGTGGCACACGTGATTGATTCATTATGTAGTTCATGTTAAACATGCCATTCTTTTTCGTGGCAGGTTCTGTCTGCAGCGAGCAGGAAGATTAAAGCTTTGAATGTGAAGAAAAGCACTGATGATACCTCCGCCTTGTCCGGGTCTCATAGCTTATGTATCTTGCTGCAGATTGTGCAATACAGCAATTGTAACATGCATACAGTAGCAACAACGTGTAGTCAGGAGCCCCGAGCTGCGAAAAGCGCTGGTGAAAGACATGGACGCCACGATTGGAAAGCTGTCAAAAGCCAGAGCCGAGTTGCAGCAAGCCGTTGACTCTGCCAAGGAGTAGTGTTGAAATCTTCGGATCGATGTTTTGTTCGAGAAATATCATTCCAATAATACGCATGTTGCATAATTTCCAGAAATCTCGCCGCAGGACGCCGACATCAGAGAGAAAATCGATGCCGCCCAGGCATGCAACGAGGAGGCTGAGCTTGCTTTGACCCTGAAGAAACCGAGAGCCGGGACAGCCAAGGCTGGAAAGAAGTAGTGGGGATGGTCATGAACCCGATGATACACCCACCCGCTCAAAACGATAAGTCTTTAAATCCTAGTGGGTTCCAGCAGGCCGTGGGCGAAATCACCGTGTGCATTAAAGGGTTACATGACCTGACGGGTTTTTATCGACATGGAAATGTCGGTATGAAAGGCAAAGTGTGTGCTATATGCTGCCTCGCATCGCCGGTGAAACCTGCCGATTAGCTGAAGATGTGTTTCGCACGAGAAGCAGGGGTTGTTCTCTTGTGCACTAGCGACGCATGAACGGAGTCGGCGGGCGATGGTGCGAAAAAAGCTTCATCTTCAGATTCTGTCCGACAAGTGAGACGTTGCGTTCATACAGTGACCTTTCTATTATTGTATTTGCATGATTCGCAGGTGCCTCCAGTAATGATGATCAGTCAAAGATGATCGGCGAGATAATCGATTCGGTGGCTGGGGCCGTCTTTGGCTGCACTAGACATGTGTGTACTTTTCCTAAACTAGATAATAGTCGAATGATTAACCTTCATATACCCTCAGGTACTGTTGGGTCTACCCCGGGTCGGATATTAGACCCCAAACCCTGGGTCTAATATCCAAACCCTAGGGTCATGCAACAGGTCATTTTAGACCTTCACGCCTTGGCCTATGATCAGGTCTCTGTTGGGGCCGTTGTGGCTCGGCATTGCTTCAGTACGTTTCAGTTCCTGTTCCCGTTCTGGCCCGTGCGCTTTTGCGTGCTAGTCCCCTGCCGGCCTGGCTCCTCCCCGGTCCCAGTTATCGTCTCTGGTTCTGCTTCTGTCCGCTTCGGTTCCGCTGTGGTCTCCGCTCAGCTCTGGAAAGTCTCGGGTTCGTTGTTCTTTTCGGTTCCAAACCGGTTTCGGATCGGATACACCCCGGTTCCTTGTGGCGGTTGGGCTGTGGTTGTGTGGTGCTGGTTTCAGTTCGGATCTTGCTGCGGTCCAATTGAGTTGTTTTGAGTGCGGGGGCCCACTTCCGAGGTCATCCGTCGCCGCCGACCCTGCATAATGTCGCCTCCCAAATGTCTCACTTCGCCTTTAAGAACCTGGGAGGAACCTGGAAAGCCTAATTACCTAATTTTCGTTTTGCGCACGGATTTTTTTCTTATCGATGCGACTCGGGCTGAGTCGGGTTTGGGTTGAGGTGGAACTGTTTTGCTTCGCAGGTCTCGTCTTGGGTTGTCGGCTTGGGGTCGGTGTCTCTGCCCTGTCGGTTCCGGCAGTTCCGTTCGTTTCAGCTCGCATTTTTACGAAGCCCTGGCAACCCTTTATGGAGGTAGAGAAGCACGAATCCAAGAGTACTCCAAACTGAGTTTCGGAGTTCCGGGTTTGCGGCTTCTGGGTTCAGGCGTTTAAAGTTTCTGGGTTTCTGCGTTTCTGGGTTGGGGATATTTCTGGATCTAAGTGTTTAGGGCTTCTAGGTTTCTGTTTCTGGGCGTTTCTGTGTCTAGGTGTGTCGGGTTGCTGTTTTTCGATGTTCTTCCCGAAACGCAGTTTTTGGGTTATGTGTTCAGGTTTACTGGGTTTCTGCGTTTTAGGGCGCTTCTGGGATTAAGCGTTTAACGTTTCTGGGTTTCGGCCGTATGCTGTCCAGGGGAACAAACCAGGGCACACGGGTACCACGAGCCCTCGCTTACCCATCCATAAGAAAACTGGCCACAGCAGCACAGCGCCGGCTTCCTGTTGTAGCCGTCTCGAGGTTCCTATCTTACTCAGACGTCTATATTGGTTTGGGATCTATAGGGTCTGAAGGGTTTGGGAAGGTTCGGCATGCCGGGGTTCTCGAGTTTAGGGTTTCTGGGTTTGTGCGTTTCTGGACGTTTTTGGGGGGTTCCTAGTCTTTGGACGGTTTTGGGTTTAGGTGCTTGGGTTTCTTGGTTTCTGCGTTGCTGGGTTTGGAGGTGCTTCTGGATTTAAGTGTTCAGGGTTTCTGGGTTCCTGCTTTTCTGGGCGTTTCTGGATTTAGGTGTTTAAGGTTTCTGGGTCACGGGGTTCCTCCCGAAACGCAGTTTCTGGGTTTATGTGCTTAGGTGTTTAAGGTTTCTGCGGTTTGGGCGTTTTTTGAGTTTCTAGGTTTAGGTTTATAGGGGGCTTCAGGTTTTTGGGTTTCTGCGTTTCTCGGTTTGGTGCTGCTTCTGGGCTAGGGCTTTTGCGTTTTTGCACGATTTTGGGTTTAAGTGTTTTTAGCGTTTCTGTGCGTTTCTTTGGGTTTCGGTGTTTAGGATTTCTGGGTTTCGGTGATTTTGCGTTTCGAGTTTAAATGTGTTTGGGTTTCGGTGCTCACACTCACTCGGGCAATCCAACGTTTAGATTTCGGCGCTCACACTCGGACAATCCAGGCGCGGCATATGGTTCGGAGTCTAATTAGTGTTTCTGAGTTTCTGCGTTTTGGGATGTTTCTGGGTTGTTATTTAATAGCTTCTCGGTTTCTGCGTTTCTGAATGCAGTTTTGGTCAAGCGATTTTCACGAGCACGCACCGCGGGACACAAATCTCACATCCATTTCGGTGCTCGTGGACCTGTAATTCAATCTCGCGACCCGCCAAACCGAGAATAGTGCGCAGCGGCGGCCAAAAGCTTAACGCCAAGTTTGGTCCAGAGACTGGAACGAGCAGGCACTGCGGGACACAAATCTCAGATCCATTTCGGTGCTCGTGGACCTGTAATTCAATCTCGTGACCCGCCAAACCGAGAATAGTGCGAAGCGGCGGCCAAAAGTTTAAAACCAGTTTTTGTCCAGCGATTTTCAGTTGGGTCTGGAATCCACGGGGCTGGGAGGGTCTAATATCCTGAACCCCGGATTTCAGACCCTGCACTCTCCGGCCCCCGGGGCCAGGATTCCAGACCCTCCAGTACCTGACCCTATACCTTCATATATTACGCTGCAGGCGAGCACTGTGGGCAAGGAGATGCGATCGGCCAAAGCAGCCGTCGAAGAGACTGACCATGAAATTTCGTGGTGGTTCGCGAATTGTTCGTCTGGGATCCACTCTAAAGTGTTGTGTATCTAAGGATGGGGTCCGTGATCTCCCGCCGCTTCTCAAAAAACTGGGATCCTACAGTGGCCACAACAACTCGAGAGATTTTTCACGAGCTCTGCGACTTCCTGTTGTATCCTGGCCTCGATTTGGCTTAGTGCTTCCTTTCAATTTATTTCGGTGCTAGGGTGGCCTTACTTGTTCATTTCCAACTGTGAATGGGACCAACTGTGAATGGGAGGCACCGAAGTTCATCGAGACTGTTGTTCGAAAGAAAGAGGATAGCAACGAGGAGCGCATGGTGAAGATCCCGGTGCTCCTACCGCATTTGGTTTTGCAGTACTTATTTCAGGAGGTCGGTCTTCAAATCGACGATGAACTTTTGCAGAAATACTGGGTGCATGCCAAACAAGTCTTTCCGTGGGCAGCCGCTGATGATTTCGACGGAAGTCATGTGCCGTTGGCTGTGTATGGTGATTCCGCTCGGTATGGACAAGGTTATGATCAATCCAAAATCACTGGATTTTGGATGAGTCTGGTTTTGTGGCGGCCAAAAAGTACACGCATGAGCCAATGGTTGTTGTGGAGCCTAGATGCTGATCTCAGTTTGGGCCGACGAAGCGAAAACCCGCTTATACACGCAGTTGTCGAATCCTTGAACCTGTGTTTCGATGGCCTCACACCAGCAGGCAAAAAGCTTCCTCGTCGGTTTGCCACGACAGAAATCAAAGGAGATTGGGAATTCTTCTATACAAAGCTTGGGCTCACAAGATACTGGAAAAAAAGGATGCTGTGCTGGAGATGTGATGCTGAGAACCATGAACATGCAACCCATTGCTATTTGGATGTCTCCGACAACCCGACTTGGGCCACCACCGAGATATCGAATAACGAT